TTATATATATTTATATATATTTATACATGTTTATATACATATATGTTCTTATACGAAAAATTTTTTTACCGGGTATAATTAAATATAATGAATTAAATTAAAACTGACTACAGTAAAAAACGTATATTTTATATTATAATAGTATGTATATTATGAAAATTACTTTATTGTTAGAAACAGCTTTTTTAAAATCGTGCAAAAGTTAAATTCGCTCCGATCCTTCTATCTTGTCATAAGTGGCTCCATGTTTTGTGTTATAATGTCTTCCGACATTATATTTCTTTGAATTCATAATGATTCTACAGATCAAACATTGCGTTTAATTATCATGCTTCATTATGAACCACTTCTCTTCCCATGAAGAACTGTCCGAACTTGAACTTAAGATTCTTTTCCTTTGATTATCCGTTACAAACGTTAAATTATAAGATTGCAAATGTGTCTGACTGTTCTAGACATGAGACAATTTGATTATACTCTTGCTTAGTTATTGTTTTTCTTTTATTTTGAGCGTTTAGCAGATTAATATTAGCAGATGTTTATTTTGAAATTGTTGGAAGTTTTCTTCGCAGAAAAAGGATTATTCTTCTGGATTTAAAAATATAATTTTAAAGCGCTAAGTTAAACGTGATATATGTATTCATAATTTTATGATTGTATTGTAAGTTTATATTTTAATACATTGTTATTGTTTATATGTTTATTGTTTATTGTTTATTGTTTTATTTTCTTTGTTATATTTAAATTTTCGTTAAACATATTTAAATGTATTAATTATATAATTTTTAATTTAGCACAAATTTTGACAACTTACAATATTTAAAAATAGAAATAAGCATTTTAATTAAAATTTTCCTATAATGAATGCTTATTATTATTATTATTAGGATAATCAAAACATGCTAGAGCATATTTCTTTATTTGACTAATAAAAAATTAACTAAATATAAGTTGAATTCATAAGAATTTATGCATTTTAAGTCCTATATATATTACAATATATTTTTGCATATTTCATCTTTAAATGGTTTTTTTATAACAGCTAAACTGTTATAAAAAAATTTTATGATGTTACAAAGATTCAAATAGTAGTTTAAGACTACACTATCGTTCATATATATACTCAATGCTATTTTTGTAAGTGTAAAATGCGGAACTTTATCCCAAGGTACTAAAAATGTTAGATACGCTCCTGAAATGTGAACACAGGCGAGCGCTCGCGGGCGCCCGTGCTCAATTTCAGCATTTTGCCGACCCCTGGCCTACTGCGTGAGGCATGAGAGCTTGCCTGTACGTCCTCTCCTAGATTTCATTGTTTTAAATAATAAATTCTTCATCTTTTGAATAAGAAAATCCTGGGACATAACATATGTATAACGCATTTTTAATAAATAATTGTTGATAATCCTGATATTATCCTGACACAATCCTGAAACGTATTTGAAAATACCATAATATATTCAGACCCAAATAGCAAGATGACATCATTATGACGATGATTTAAGATTATTTTTCGTCATTCGTCGTCATTAAATAATAAAATAAACATTCGTAACATTTGTCACGAAATATTATCGTCATAAATATATCGTCATTTAATCGTCATTTTTCAGACATTTTTAGACATTTTTAGACATTTTTAATGAATAAATAATGAAACATTATTAATTACTATTTTTTTAATTAACTATAATATATAAATAAGAAAAATATTTCCCATATTTAATACAATTATTAACAAATTCAAACAAATTTAAACAAGTAAGCAAAATATATATATATAACAATTTTCATAAGGAAAATGAATCTCATTAAATATAATATAGGTTCACGGCTCTATATATGTAATTAAATTATTTAGAAAAATTACATGTGCAATCGAGATTTTAAAATTAAGACTATATAACAATATAGTAACATTCATCGACCAGATTTATTATATTTTAAGTCGAGATTCTGTAATCACTTATTTTATCATTTCAATAGCAGGTTTCAACCCAATACAGAGGTTAAGCGACGTTGAGCAGAATCTCCAAATGACCGATGGGTAACCGATTTTAAAAACATGCAGTGATACGAGATAAAGACATTTCATCATTTCCTTCTTCTTTTTTTTATTTTTTTTTTTTTCACTTATTTTTCGTAAGGGGTGTCACATATATTATAGATTTTCATTTCAGTATTAGTAGTCAATATCGGAACGCAATCGTTTTCAGAATGTCTCTAAAGTCATCCTGAAGTCATCCTAAAGTCGTCTTAAGAAAGTCCTTAGAATAACCTAAGACTGTGGAGAACGTACTGAGGACGCAATGAGACGCTCATTTGCTAATCCACAGGACAGCCTGTTTACATTTCAGGATCAGATCATAAGGTAGTCCTCATAGGTAGTCCTCAGGAATCCGGTTCATCTAATAGAACATCCTGAGGACATCCTCGTGTTATTAGGG